CCAAATAGACAAAAAAACAAACACGCTAGAGATAACGACCACAACATCGGTCGATATGTTAACGATCATAAATTCGGATGATCGAGGTTTATTAAGTATGGCATAAACATAAAAAAAACAAGCACTCAAACGCCCACTCTGATCATGTGGCACAACAACTGATGAGGAGGCACACAAAATAGGAAGCGAATAGTTGATAATGAAAGATCACTGGAATGGCCGAGGAACTATATGAGCAGAAGGGGAAAGAAAAAGTGTGCAGACGTACAAATCTTGCTTAGACGTCCTGTTTGAGCTACAACAGATAATTTCGCAACTTAATCTCAGTTAGGCTTCATGTTGATCTTGCTGAATCCCTCGATGAATAGCAGAATGTTCCAGTGCAGCATCTCATGCCACCCATAATAAATATATTCGCTAACCAACAGATGATTAACGAGCTCATCTTCAATTGAGGTGTAACTTGCCTAATTTTCGGTTCATTAACTTAAAATATCTGTCTTTACCTCTAGCCATTGTTTAAAAAGCCACCTATTTGCCTTTATAAAGCTAGTCTTATGTAGCACAAGAGCACAAACACTGTAAACCCTACCATAAAACTATGACGACAAGCATATATTTGGTTATGGCGAACATGACATTGCTATTTGGTGTGAAGATAGCTTATAAGAGCACGTGCATCTAACGTATAAAGCCAATAAAGATGGTTAGAGCCTTATGGTCTCTCGTGCACTTCATTTTATTATGAAATAGTCAAGCCAACAGGTCATGTTAATTGTGACATTAGGTGAAAATAACGGATTAGCCACGAATCTTCAAACAGGCTCATGTCAACAGCTTCCTGCAACGCTTTGTACAGCCTATAAAGCGCAGCTGTCATTTGCATGCACGGTTATGTACCTTAGACCCAACTCTCAGTCTACAAATTCCTCCGGAATCATGCCGACGAGACGCTGCTGTGCAGATTTTGGTTGGGCGTCGCATTTACCAATGCGTATGCGTTCGGCATAGATACGGCTTACACTGCCGCATGCAACCACTGCGGCAGTGACGAAACAGCTTGGCACATTCTGTGTGAATGCCCACAATACTGCTCGCAGAGACAGTCACTCTGCAATGCACAAGATGAGCTGGACAACCAGACTCTTTCGGAAGAAAGAAACGTGCACTACCGTCAGGAGTTTGTGTCGCAGAAGAAGGCTGTGAAAGCGCTCCTGCGCTTTTTGCGTTCAACCGGCCTGTCCAAATGACTGTGATCGGAACTTCCTGAATGTGTGCACGTGTGAATATTTTTCTCTAATTTATTTTATATCTCTCTATCTCTATCCTTTTTCCGACGCTTTTCCCCACCCCCGTACAGGGTAGCGAACCAGTTCTTCTAGGTTAACCTCACTGTCTCTTCCTTTTATTCATTTCTCTCTCTTTCTCTCGCGGTTCGCCTTCTGTACTGAAAGATTGTCTTTGAACCAATGCAAAGTAAAAACAAACATTTCAAAATGATCTCAAGCTTTTTGCTGCACGTAAAACTTTCGTCGCGTATTTATTTAATTTCATAAGCAGGCCTGAGTAGCAATTTCGTGAGTCCCCGGGTATGTAGAAACGGAAACGGCAAAGGCCTCTTACAGACCTGCGATGAAATTTGGTATCTAAGCGTGAGTGACATGAGCTGTGCACTGGAACATCAAAAGCACAATACGTTAAAAATACAACTGAGAATGTACCTACAAGACGTGCACTGTTTCGCCAACAATGTTTAGTCTCGTAGTTGTACAAGCATTGCTAAAATAATTTATGTGACACTGGCGAGAGTTACGAAGAATACAATGGAATGTTCGCGAACATACGTATATGATTTCCCGTTTTCCCAGACTGCAGTCTACAAGAGCAACAAGTCTTGGAAAGAACAATGTACGTATAGAGGTGTTACGTAAGGTTTTACGTATATTTCAGAGATCGCAAGGCATGCCGCAATGTAAGCGGCAGAGCAGTTTCCTAAACGGTCTTTGATGTCTGTTTCAGGGCTCCTTTTCAGACCTCCTGAAGCCGTACGAGCAGGCGATACAAGTATTAAGCTAAGAAATATCATTTTTTTGCAATTAATCATCAAGTAATATTCAACTTAGAGCGTGTCATATCTCAAAGGAAAAGAAGAGTTTTCGGTTATGTAAGGGTACTTCTGGCTTTCACCGAACCAGCAAACGACAACATTGATTCGAAAGTTGTGAAAAATGAGTACCATAAGGCGACTTTATGTAGTGGCCAGAAGTAACCGAACTTTGCAACGAGAAGCACGATTTAGTATGAAATTCGTCAGACAGCAATGGGGATATCAATATTCACCAAAAACATGACCATTACCATACTTTAAGTTACGAAATCGCAGATAAATACAAATGAAAGTCGGCATAGGGAACTCTACTCATAAGGGTTCACCTTGTAGCAGCGTATATGGATATCATAAATGCGCATTTTTTTCCTCATATTCTTCAGTTTGTTTTGAGAAGGTTACGATCCTTCCCTCGTTTTAAATTTACGCAAATTGTGAACCGATATGCCATTAAGAAGTAAAGCTACAGCAGTGTGACAAAGTAGAGCAATGATCATCAGGCGTAAGAAGCACACACGAGGTGTCTCTAAATGAAACTATTTTCTCTCATTGCATAACTATCATTATATTTCCGACGTCTTGTTGATCTTAGGACCAATTAGAGTACACGCTCTGATAAAAAAACCAAATAAAGAGACAGCTATGTAGCTGCTACAGAACAAACAATATCTTTGTCAAATCAGATAGGAATGCGGAGCTTAAAGCTTAGTGCCGCTGAGAGCATCGGTGCGTTATGAATGGAGATGATACCTAAGAAAAGAAATGAAGGAAGACGTTCATTACTTATGGTAGTAATATGCACTAGTGAACACTTCCCAAGCCTTGCGCATGTATAGGCTCGTTCAATCTTGAAAACATACAAGGTTACAGAATTTCAGCAGCAGAGTTTGCCAATGTGCTTTGAAGTGTACGTGTGCACAAGGTGTGTTTGTATAGATGACGGAGCCACCGAAAAGAACAAGTACTACACTAGACAACACACAGTGCCAGAAAAGTACGGACATATTTCAGAAACCAGAAAGTTCTGGTGCACACACGTGCGTGCACAGATCCAGAGTGTTACACGGCGACGCGAACGTGCTTCGCAAGTTCAGGATTTTCGGATATCTACAAGATTGGTTCCGTTTCGCGACACTCAAAGGTGATTATTCATTAAAGCCCAAGAAAAACGTGAGCACTAAGAAACTCTTCGAAGATTGTGGAACACAGAGAAACTCCTGATTTCAGTTACGAAGCTTAAAGAAGGCATCTGTTTCCAAATTAAGTCTCAGGAAAGCTGTCTGATATTGGCAGCCTGCATCGACGCATTTCTATAGGCCTGTCACAAATGAACCACGCCGAAGTAACGTTCTTATCTATAACTTCAAGCAAAACGATAACTTTGGATTAGGTTGGTTTTTTTTTTTTCTTTTTTTGGTTCCAGCGAATGAAAAGATGCCTTGAACGCTAGTACTTTTGTTTACAGGAGGGCTACGTAAATGCGCAATATATCTCACTACGCAATGTGTTTCTACAGCACGCTTGATCGAATAATCACCTCGGTGGGCATCGTCCGGAGAACACGATTCCTGAAGCACGCCCTCTTTCGGTTCACGTGAACTCTCATTCGCCACAGTCTATAATAGCCTTGTCCGGTCGCCGTGACTACATACGTATATTCAAGGAAAATGCACTTTCCATCTCTCCAGTACTCAAATGACATTTCGTATAAGGGATTAAACGTCGTGTAAATACACAAGTGCACGGGCAAATGCGCCCTGCGTACACCTTCACTATATTTCCAACGGGCACGTATGATCGGTATTTAGTGTAGAATATTGTTTTACGTATATCCAGAAGGTTGCATCAAATACACATTGTCACTATCTAAACTCAGTGACAGCGGGTCGGCAGGAATTCGCACTGCGAGTACGTATTATTGACAGCGACCATGTTTACGAGGATCTGCGAGTGAACAAGTATCCTAGAGTTGGCAGCGGGCAAGACCAATAGGTTTCTGCAAGATGAGCAGTCGCACCAGAAACATTTGTCGTACACTGTCTGGTTGTGATATCTTGGTTAGGCAAATGCTTTTAGAACGTCATATATCTGCTACGAGAGCTAATGATTCTGTACTTGTGGCTAGCTCACTCTGCGTCCAGACATGCCAGCTCTCGGTACACTCAAGATATTTTCCAAACAGAAGATCCGTCAACAAGTAGATGTTGCTCGTAATATTTTAAGTGACACTAATGCTCTTGCCGAAATGGGAGATAAGACCGTAGAGTGGTTGGCACTTGTAATCTGTTAAATTATAGCCTTCCCCTGAATGCGGCAAGTGTTATTGAACTATCGAAGCGTCTATTCTTTTATCTGGTGCAGTGGTACAGAGTCGACAGAATTACTGCCACTGTCTCCTGCATAGCTGCAGTAGAACTCTGTTGTCTCCTGTGTAACTCTATGAATACACTATTCCCTCGCGAATCCTTTAACAAATGGGGACAGTAAGGTAAGAAACAGCAACGCGTCTCTTTACATTCCACTTTCGTAGCCGCTTTTTTTTTTTTTCACAGAACTGCCAAAACACGTCGAGCTTCACGAGTGCACCTTTAAGAAATTAAAAGAGAGGCAAACGGCTGCAGCGTTCAGTCCTTAACAAGAAACGAAAACGCTTCCTGGCGCAGACTGGTTGCGGAATGAAACATCGTGAATTCCGTGATCGCGTGTCTTCTCGACACTACAACCGAAGAGATCAAAGTGTCACAACACAGTTCTGAGAGCATCCGCTAGTTTGCCACCGTAGATGTCGCCACTGGGCGGACAGAAGGTTGCGCCCTCTAGCTCCGCGTGGTGGTCGCTTCGGCTCGTTCTGTGCACACTGCTCCGGTTATCTACTCCGCGATGCTTCGAAACACACACAAACACACACACGCAACCATGCAGGTGCACGTCGACAAAGGAAAAAAAAAAGCACGTCGCATGAAACTAAGTTGTAGGATAAAAAAAACAATAAAACTGGGGAGGATGTCTTGGCGTGGTTGCACAAGTGTTCTTCCACACAGGCGAGACTGTTCCGCGTACACACAATGTCGCGGACGAGTTCGTGGACAGTCTTGCGAGGGCAAGTGTGCTTTCGTAGTTCAGAAGAAGCAGGGATCGCCCTTCGTCGATGCCAGAAGCGTCATCAGTCTCGGGTCAACACCGAGCCCAATCAGTGTCGTTCGTGGTTGGACGCATCAGACCTAACGCGCACCATCATAGTTAAAGAAAAAAAAAATATGGTACGACAGGGCAGAAAAAAAAATGCGAACGAAAGTCCAAACTGCCTCGATGCGATGGCAGCACTTCCATAACTTTTTTTTTTTCGTTTTCCCCCGAAGCTTGTTCTTTCAGGGGGACGTGCGGCATCCGACGAACGCGCCTTTTAAAATGGTGGACAACGACTCGCGACGAAATGAAATAAAAGAAAAAGGAGGGCACGTGCCACGTCACCGCCATTTCCGAGAGTCGAGAGAAATACCCGTGCCCGGCACAGCAAGCACGGACGCACACTCGAACACGCACGCAATTAATTTACCGTGCGGCGTGAAATAGGTCTGCGCGTTGCTGGCCCGGGCGGCTCATTGCGTGTACGCGCTTATAGTAATACGTATGTGGAGAACCAGTGGAAAGGAAAAGGCGATCGGGGCTTTTTCGCGAGGAGCGCGTTTGCCCAAGCTGTCGCCGCGGTGGGAGCGTAGTGTAGTAGTAGTAGTTGGTGTAGTAGTAGTAGTACGGAGCCGCCTGTCTACAAAGGGGTTTGTCCTTGCCTCCAGGAGCGGCCCGGAGAGGAGATGAGACCGGTCGGATCTTACGTTTTGCCGGCGTCGCTCGAAGCCTGCGCGGCCGCCGCCTGCTGAGCCTTGGCTGCCTGTGCCTGGCGTTCCTGCTCGTTGAGCTCCTTGATGGCCTGGATCTCCTTCTTGAGCTTCATGCGGCGGTTCTGGAACCAGATCTTGATCTGGCGCTCGGTGAGGCACAGAGCGTGCGCCATCTCAATCCTCCGCCGCCGCGTCAGGTAGTGGTTGGTGTGGAACTCTTTCTCCAGCTCCAAGGTCTGGTAGCGGGTGTAGGTCTGGCGGCCTCGGCGACGCAACCCACTGGCACCTGCGACGGGGCAAACAAAGAGGCGCAAAAGCTTCGTCAGACGCGGCAGGCTCCGACATGCAAACACGCAAGCACACACGTAAGGAGTGCACATGTACAGAGCAGTAAACTTTTGATGTCGTATACGTATACAACGAGAGAAAGTGTGCGAGAGTGAGAGAGAGTGAGACAGAGATGTGCAGTGAATGTGTTTAACGAGGCTGAAGTGGTTGGTTGACAGCGCACTTGAATAGGGACTGAAGTATAAACACTAAATAATGCAATTGGTCAAAGCTGGTGGAACCCTCGTGCGCTTAATGGGCACGTTATTCAAGCTACACAACGCTGGTGCTGAATAATGAAACACTCTTAATAACGAAGAAAGTGAAGGCGCAGAAAACGCTTGAGCGTGCACACATAAGGTTTTCATTTATCGTTTACCGAAAGGCACTGTTTCGGATCAAAGGTTGAAAGTCACAATCAAGTACCCGACAGAGGCTCCTTAGTTGTGTTTTCTAACCGGCAAGAGATGGAGAAGGTGCCAATATGAAAAATGTGCTACAATCATACCAACAAAAAAGAAAGGCACGAAAAATTTGCGATTGAAGATATAAACAAACCCCAAATGCACACGTAGCGTTGTTAATTGTTACTACACAAATTTCAGTGCTTCGGACGCGGTAAGGCGAAGGGCTACATAGTAAGTTTTGGTTGATCAAATGTAATTTATATATATGCGAACGTCGCCGTCTATAACTTATTTTCTGACTCCAATGAACCACACTTGGGGACTTGCATGAAGCTGCGAAAGATTGTGTATGAGAATATCTTATGTATCCTATAGTGCGGAGACAAGCGATAAGATTGAAAATGAACGTTTATGATAGCAGATAGATCATTCGTAGTTGCCCCTCCCCCAGCACACACTCTCAACGGTGGCTGGAACAGTTGCCAACATGAAATGCTTTGAATAGTTGACATGACCACTGAATGTTGTTTGCAATATATTATGTGAACTTGGATCGATATTTTGAATATTACCGCCCAGGAGTGAGACATCTTTTATTATCCTCGAATATAAGAACAGACATGAACTCTAGTCATCTTTCGAAATCAACGAATCTCCATCTTTATTATTGAAAACTACATTTACTATGAAAGTGGGAACCTAGGAATCTGATCAGCAAAAAAAAATGATAATAATAATTCCACGTAAAGCATACTCGGAAGAACTCATATTAAACATTTACAGTGTGATACGAAGACGCCGCCAGTCGGGAAAACTATAGACAACAGGAAGAAATGCCGCTGGGCTAATGCAAGGAAAGAGCTTCACTGTCCTTGAATCGTTTCGATCTAGAAGCCTCAAAAATTGCTTTTCTAAGTATATGAAAATTGTTGAGCGAACATGTGCCGCAAGGATATGGAGTGCACAATTCAGTGGATCAATATTTTTCAGGACCTCGTAGAAGCCAATATATGCAATGGCTGTCATTGCAAGCATGGTTTCCTTAATATGGCACAAATACGAGGATGACAATTTGAAATAGGGGCAAAGCACATGTTGCACAATGGCATTTTCTAAGTGCAAAAACATGCGTGTCGCATTCATGCTTTAGAAACTCGCGTATACCTTTGGTGTTCCAGATAAATTTCGCGTCTATTGTCTGATAGTGCGTGCAAAAGAACAATAAGAAAATTTTCAGATACACATCACGGCGAACAACACAACAAGCGTGTTAGTCGATAAGTTTCGCCCCGCCGCGGTGGTCTAGTGGCTAGGTACTCGGCTGCTGACCCGCAGATCGCGGGATGGAATCCCGGATGCGGCGGCTGCATTTCCGATAAAGGCGGAAATGTTGTAGGCCCATGTGCTCAGATTACGGTGCACGTTGAAGAGCCCTCGGTGGTATAAATTTCTGGAGCCCTCCGCGATGGCGTCTCTCATAATCATATGGTGATTTTGGGACGTTAAACCCCACATGTATTAAAATTAGTTTCGACTGCATCGGAGACCTGCGCTTCGATGTAGAGAAACGATGTGTACATCATAAACATTGTCGTCTTCGATCGAAGCCGTTACACAGTCATTGCAAGCCATGTTAGCTGAAATTCCAAGTTCTTTCTTAGGTGTGGCATGAGCACTTCCGGTAATTTGCCAGAAGTAGGTGTTTTCCTATAATGATTTTGTTTGTTTTAATGTTGAAAAATTTATGAACAATTTATTTATTTAAAATTTAAGAGAAAGGCTCACACAGGAATGGGCATACAAAGAGTACTGCCAAAGCATCCATTGCAGAAGATACCACAGAAAGTTTCAAGAATCACACCTTTGTAAGTGTAGTACCGGATACAGGTGCACTGAGAAAGCACATAAGACAAGCGCAGACTAAACTTGTGGGCGGTCAGTTTATGATTCGCCTTATATTTCGAGTGAGCACAATGGAAAGGGACATATTTGCACAGCGCTAAATGAACGAATACAGCTGAGAAGACACAAGCCAGGATTTGTGCTGTGTCCTCCAAAGAAAATGAAATAAAAACAGCGCCTGTATGGTGTCTTGCATCCTGCAATGTGTTCTCGTTTATTTTGGGCTGTGCAAACATGTCGATCCCGAATCACCAACTAATCCAAGGTATACCGTTTTATCTTCCCAATGGGAAGCTTTGAGAACACCGCATTCGTTCTCCGTGTGGCTGCTGATACTCGTTGCGAGATTTAAAAGAAACCACACTCGAGATACAACTAGTCACACCTCGTAACCGGGAGGATTTCGGTGTTTCTCTTGGTGTACGCAATAATGATTTGAATCATTTTTGGGGTTTTCCGTTACGAAACCAGTGCACCTAAAGTAAACAAAGTACGCTGCATGCGAAACAGACACTAGAGTAAACGGCAGCGTACATTGGTGACAATCACGACGAAGAAGAAAAGATAAAACATAACATTCAACCTATTAAAAATGCCGGAACTTAACTAATTATTCTTACGATCCCTCTAAAGTGGATGCATTAGATTGAATGTATCAATAAACTATTAATAATGTATTGTACTCGTTGTTTGGCACACTTTTTGTATTTATTTTGGCTTTGATTACAATTTAAAGTTGCGCTCCTTCGCTGCTGTTTACTTCTTCATAATTTTATAATAACCATTGTTACAGACTCATTTCTAGCATGCTTTCATTAATGCCAACAATACACGCTTATATACTTGTTTATTTTGCTATATGCTGTTTATATACATTCATGCCATAAAGGGTCTTGAAGTACTTGCTAAGTGACTCAACAGATTTTCGCCTGGAAGACCTCTAGAATAAGAAATTGAAAATAAATAATCACTGATTTGTTGATTGATTAGAAGACAATGCCCCATCGTAAGTATGACCCATATATAAAAAAGAGCCAACCAGGAAAACAAATGAAGAAACAGGTGCACAATCAGTATATAGTTCGGTACAATCTTTTAATGAAGGAACCATCGTGAAACAAGCTATCTAAATCACCGAGCAGACCCCTAGATAAACCCTCCTTTGGTGTATCTGCCATTTCCGCAGAATATTACTCGCAATGTTGAAATTCAATTAGATAAAATGGAGAAAACACGTTATTCGCGCGCACACTATGAAACGTGGCAGCAGTAGGAGGAATCATGCCTGTCTCTCAGGACGACATATATAAGCCGTTAAAACGAGAAACAAAAAAAAAAAAACAACTATCAGTTTCCTTGATACCATGAGACTAAGTGCACTAGGATGGCAACCGATATATATTTTAGAAGGTCAACCCAAACGTGTAATCGCATTCATATGGATCGATATGCTCGACGTAAAGAAAGCCACAGCAGCAAACGAAGTGTCAACCTTTAACAGCCAGAAGTTATGAATGCAAGTGGAAAGACCTCTACAGTTGCATGCTTTTATGATATGCCACTCGAAAATCCCTATACAAGCACTTTATGGCTTTACATGTTGGTGGAAATGGCCCTCGGGATCTACACCGACCCATCAGAACGACTCGTACACCGAGAGACCAAGTTCCATTTCTCAGGAAATGGGAACAGTCCCTGACAGCCACTTTTGCAAAACTCCTTCAGCAGCGGGACAAATAACGACGAACGAACGCCATATTAGTAATAAAAAGTCGTTTCGACAGCAGACACCACACCAAGCTACCTTCAAACCAAGCCAGCAAGATTACAGTTTCCGTCACAAGACGACTATGCCGCTCCGAATGCCCGTTCAAGTGGCACTCTGCATGCTGTTATATCAAGACAGCAACTGAACGCGTTTCACTTTAGACAATCTATTACGAGGTACCTGAGAGATAGACCGAGGCAAGCTCCGTTGGTAACGCTGTACCATACCACCTCTGGAAGGCTGGAGGATGCAGAGTACCGAGAAGAGAACAGGCGAGGGTCGACCGGAGGAAAAAAAAAGGAGGGAGAAGACGGAGCTGTAGAATAAAATCTAGCAATCGTTTGTGCAATATCTGTGCGGTTTTTTATTACACCCACAAACTTATTGAGTTGTCTGCGCACTGCCCATCAACTTCACTTCAATAAATTCAAGTTTGGTGGATTGTTTAATTCTTGTATGTCAAAAAAAGCGCATATAATTTTTACCCTTTCACATCTTCATTTCGCAGGCTCTGAACTGCGCCAACACCTAAGCTGCAAATTATGAACGTTTCCATAACCATGATCTTTCCGGAGTTAGCAATAAAGGTGACCCTTTCTTGTTCCCGCCTCTAGAGATGTCACGCAAACAACAATCATCCGACAAACAGAGTGCAAACACTTCATTCCTACAAATTATAAGTAAGATCTTGGGTGCATACTGTAAGATAACTGATTGAATTATGCTACACTAACACATCTTAACTCAGCTTCTTTAATTAAGTGGAAGTGCATGCTAAATAATAAGCAAGCAATATAGTATCTGCGATACAGCTCACCATCACAAATTACAAATGAGAAAGCCAACATGAAAACAAAACAACAACAAAAAGAAAGAATCGGAAAACGTAAACAGCTATCGGGATGCAAGTTTGCCGCACACCTGAAAACAGATGGACTTCGTTGTTAGCGAAGTGGCGAGCGTGGCAAGTTGAACA